CTCCTCTCTCTCTCTCTCTCTCTCTCTATCTCTCTCTCTCTCTCTCTCTCTCTCTCTCTCTCTCTCTCTCTCTCTCTCTCTCTCTCTCTCTCTCTCTCTCTCTCTCTCTCTCTCTCTCTCTCTCTCTCTCTCTCTATATATATATATGACACTGCCGTAGACTAAGTACTAAAACAATGGCCTGTATTGATTTGCTCATCGCAAGTTCTACGTTGATGCATTTCCATGAAATGGTGCAATAAGATAACAAAGTCATTCCGGAACCTCCGAGTCCGAGCGAGCCCCATGTAACAAATGAAGTCCTTAGGAGACAACATGTGATTTTCATGGCAGGATTCAATGTGTCAATTTTTAAAAAACGCATAATGTAAAACGTAACGGTCCGTCGACATCAGCACACCGGAGCAGCCTGATAGTCGAAACAATATTTCATTCATACATCAGTACATCCGTAATCAATATTCTATCCATATATCCGTACATCCATGAACAATATCCCATCCCTACATCCTTACATCTGTAAACAATATTACATCCACACATTCGTGCATCCGTAAACAATATTTTCATCCATACATCTGTACATCCTTAAACAATATTCCATCCATGCATCCGTAACAATATGCCATTCCTACATCCTTACACCCATACACAATATTCCATCCATGCATCCGCTAACAATATTCCATCCATACATCCGTACATCCGTAAACAATATTCCATCCGTGCTTTGATCTGTTTCGATGAGCGTTATTCAGCGTCGCTTGTGCCGTTGTGCAGCACGTTATGTTCTCGAGATGAGGGGGTGGAACTTGCGGTTGCTGTAGTTGATTCGCGCGGCCCGAACTTATGGGTTACCATCGGTGAAGAATTCAGCGCGCCGAAGGCTGCACGCCACTGCTCACCCCCCCCCCCCCCCGCCCTTCCACCACCATAACACACAAAGCCGTACGATGCCTTGGGTATTGAGCTGGAAAAGAGCGATAGGCCATTATGTATTCATACCACCGCCACCATCCAATGACCTTTAACAATTCAGGAAGACGAAAAAACACAAAGACGCGCGCCTAGAGCTACCGAAGCCCAACGGCACCAGCTGAAGTTACGCCACATCATCTGATGTGAAACCCCACAGTCAGCATGGAGAGCTTGCTGCACGTCACATCACCTGATATGATACCTCACCGTCGGCGTCGAGAGCCGGCTGCACGTCACATCACCTGATATGATGCCTCACAGTCGGCATCGAATGCCTGACTGCACGTCTCCTGACCCATGTTTTTTTTACATCACAGGTCTAATGATGGGCGCAGCAGCAGACTGAGGCGCACGCAGGAGTTCACAATCGAGGTGTGTGTGTGTGTGTGTGTGTGTGTGTGTGTGTGTGTGTGTGTGTGTGTGTGTGTGTGTGTGTGTGTGTGTGTGTGTGTGTGTGTGTGTGTGTGTGTGTGTGTGTGTGTGTGTGTGTGTGTGTGTGTGTGTGTGTGTGTGTTTGGGGGAGGAGCACAACGCAGAAAAAGACTAAAAACGAGGTACAGCAGCCGCAGGCGCGTACAAATGTTTGCATGTCGTAAAACTACATCGCGTGTTCTCGATCTACATATTTTCACGCGTCTACCTGGAATTTTTAAATGTTAATATCTACTCACGAACATATTAAACATACCATACATTTGTAACAGGGGAGGGAGACGTGCCCCAGATATGCGTACGCCCCTGGGTGCGGTGTATGCGTGCCACTGCACCATCTCGTAAACAATGCCCGGTAGCGTGTTAAATTGGTCCAAAACATCATCACCAGCCTAGTCATTTAAAGGGGTTTTGATAAGAAAGCAATAAAGTCCGTTCAAATTATGACCAATCAAAAGATATGCGAACGTCCATCATTACGAGGAACAATGTCTCGGAGATGATGGTGCGCTATTTCTCATCAACATCAATTCCGTAAATGTCCTGGCGCATGATCCGTTTATGTCCTAACGCATAGCACGTCTGCTGACTAGCATGACATAATGCTGAAGGACGGACGCCGCAAACTGCACCGTAAGAGCCCACATCACACAGCCCATTACAGCAGTCGCCAATGACCTACAGCGGTGCCCCCATGCACATCAGCCAGCCGCCCCAGCGTCCGCCGTCGCGCTCAATCGGACTGCAATTCAGTCCTGGGGCGAAAAAAGCCGCCGCACCGTCCATAAATCGTCATTCAGAGCGGCCCCGAGCCAGCGAGGCGGCGTGAATGCCGTCGCTGCCTGCTCAGCAGTTATATGCCTGGCCGGTCCATGTAATGGCGTCCACCGGTCGTCGGTGGCGTCCGCCGACCGCGAATGACGTTCCGCCCCCCTGATAGCCCGAGGATATCTGCTGGCAGCCGTGCGCGTCGGCTGCACACCATGATCTTGGCGCGGCTCCCTGTCAGACCTATCGGCTGATGCTCGCCAAACAGCACGGCAATGACGGCTCAGTGTTCGCGAGTGGTGCAGGCTTGTAGTCATGTGTGCGTCTGGCAGCGCAGCATGTGGATTTGAGTCCTTGGTGATTGCTAGTTCACCAATCTTAGCATCACCATTAGCGAGTGAGAGACAGCGTGTTTTAATGCAGCCAACATCCTCAACGAGTGCGCGTGCAGACGGCCAATAATGTCAAGGATGGGCGGAAGATCCGTTCGCATTTTGTACACGGACGCTGAAAACACAAAAACGGAATCCTCGTAACGAAGGAGCGATTGGGCCCGAATTGTATTACGTCTAAGTAGGCCACCACGGTCCAAATTGGCATTTGCTTGAAAGCAAGAAGCGAAGGCCGATGGCTGTGTAAACAAGCAGGCACAGATCGAGATAGTACATCCTGCAAACTAGGAGGCCCATCGACCCGTGTGAACAACGCACACACACACTATCAGCCAATGAACTAAAACACTGCTATCTAATGGAAAGTGGGCATGCCACCTAATCTCCATTCCCTGCGTGTGCGGTAGAGCCGCGCTACGCCATCGAGTGAGTGCCTCTCGTGGTCACCATCCCGGAGCGTAGTCCCACTCAATCTGGAGCTGGAGGTCTACTCGCCCCGGAGCCGGAGCTCCACTCACTATGGAGCCGGAGCTCCACTCACCACGGAACCGGAGTTCCACTCACCCCGGAACCGGAGCTCCACTCACTCTGGAGCCGGAGCCCCACTCACCCTGGAGCCGGAACTCTACTCACCCCGGAGCCGGAGCTCCACTCACTCTGGAGTCGGACGTCCTCTCAATCTGGAGCTGGAGACCCACTCACTCTGGAGTCGGAGCTCCACTTACTCTGGAGCCGGAGCTCCACTCGCTCTGGAGCCGGAGCTCCACTCACTCTGGAGCCGGAATTCTTCTTACCCCGGAACCGGAGCTCCACTCAATCTGGACTCGGACGTCCACTCAATCTGGAGCTGGAGATCCACTCACTCTGGAGCCGGAGCTCCACTCACTCTGGAGTCGGCCCCCCACTCACCCTGGAGTCGGTTCCCCACTCACCCTGGAGCCGGCGTCGGCGGTGTCGTTGGGCGCCACTTTGCCGCCGTTGACCCGAATCGGTCTGACCACGTTGGACGCCGACAGCTCTCGCTCGCGCCTCTTCTTGTTCCGCTCCGCCACGGCCTTCATCCTGCGGGGGCGGGGAGCAGGCGTGGGCAGCGGTCGAGGGATGGGGCGGCGTCAGAGGGGATGGGGGCGGCGACTGAGGGGGTGGGGCGGCGGTCGACGGGGTGGGGCGGCGGCCGCGGAGCATCGCGCCCGAGTCCCGTCAGACATTCGCGGACAACTGGCGCCGGACGGGAGCCGCCGAGACCGTCCGGGACCCGCCGCCACGCCGCACGAGCTTCGGTGACGGCAAGGTTGCCGAGCTCGACCCGCACGTGCCGGCGAACGGCCGACCCCGCTCGGCACGCCGTCCACGGCTAGGTTCGACTCGACAGAGACTCGGCTACATCAGGGCTAATGCCATGCAAGTTGTCAGCGTTTGGTTTTGGCAGGGCAGAGGCCGGTGTGTCCGCACTCGTTTTCAAGCTAGGTCTTGGTCATAGCTTCCACAACGTTCCTGGTCTAAACGGCAGCAATCGCCATCTGCTGTCGATTGTTTTGTACACATGCAGCATGCACGGACGCTTTAGCTACCTGCCAAAACAAAAGGGATTCCAATAACAAGTCCGCCGAGAAATAACGGCCATGGTCACAAATGAAAATTGCTGTGGAAATATTACGGGACAAGACTGATGGTTTGAGAATCCTCGATGCAAACATATTCAAAATGTGCTTATTTCAATATAAGTCGGTGTGACCATTATCACAGCCGCTACGCCACCCACCGATGGCAACAGCAGTGAACGCTGTGCTTACCTGATGACGAATGACGTACTCGGACAGAGCGAAGAAAACGAAGAGCACACAGCCCGCCATCCAGATGTCTACAGCTTTGGCGTAGCTGGCTTTTGGACTTTCCGCCCTGAAAGACACACCAAGTGTGAAACAACTTCACTCACCCACTCACTAACTCACTCATTCACTCACACTTACATTCACACACTCACACACTCACTCACTCACTCACTCATTTACCTACGATCGAAATCCGCTTCTCCCACTCTGTCTCTTCCTCTCATTCTCTATCCGCTCCTTTAACTCTCCCCTCCTCTATATCTCTTCTCCTCTATCCCTCTTTTCCATCTAGCCCATCTGTTCACTTATTTTTCTCCCCCGCTCCTCTGTTCACATCTCTGTCTCCTCTCTACCTTGATCTCCTTCTTTCACTCCCTCACGTTCCCCCTCTCGCCTTTCTAATACCTTCCGACCCCGTTTCTGACGGGCCTCCTCGACGACACTCAGCGCCGATGCCGACGCCGCTCGGTGTCCACATAAAACCGTCAGCCGGCGCGGGCCGACCATCCAAACGGGTAAACAAAAGCTTTCGCGATCCCCGACGGCTTCTGGTCGGGCTCGAATGAAGATCGCATTGTTCTCGGGTTACGACGCGCAGTGTCATCTGTTGTGCCGGCGGGCCCACGATGCCCGCTGACGCCGGCGGCAGCTACCCGCCTGGAGACGGCGCATCAGGCGGGGGTCCCCGCGGGCGCCGGCGGCTGATCGATTGTTTACGTACGGCCCAACCGGCCGCGGTGAGCCGGCTTTGTGGCCCGCTATCGGAAGGGGACCCGCGGCCCAGCGAGTGGTTACAATGCATGACTCGCCCGCTGAGTTGGCCTCGTGGGACGCGCATAATAATGAGACGCTCGTGCTGAGACGCTGCCCATCGACCAGGCTGGACATCATCAAAACAGTTTGAAAGACACGTACGTTAGCTTGGTGCTACGTATGGTGGCACGTGTAGGGCCACGAGACACAAAAATGTGGCATACCTCCCCACTGGGGTCACCATCAGACGGATGTACGTACTGGCGGACGCGTTTGATGGTGATTGCCTCGCAAACAAAGGGGGTTTGTAGCGCAGTTAACGGTCAGTGGTACTTCTACCAGCTGTTGGCAGCAGCACGCCTCCCCTGCCGCGTATTTAACCAGAGCCACACGGAGCCTCGACATGCAACAGTTGTGTGCACCTCAACCCGGGATCGGGCGTCGGCGCTGAGTCCGCCCGACGCCGGTCGGGCCTTCCAGCGGGGTTTGGCGACCGTCGGGGCCTCCTGCTGAGGCCGAAGACGGTCTGGCTCTCCCGCGGGGGCCGACAACGGTCGAGCCGTCCTCGGGGGTCTGGCGAAGGTCGGGGCCTCATGCGGGGGCCGACACCGGTCTGGCCCTCCCGCGGGGGTCGACGGCTGTCGGGCCCTCGTACAGGATCTGACGCTGGTCGGGACCTCCCACGGGAGCTGACGCTGGTCGGGGCCTCCTGCGGGGTTTGACGACGGTCGGGTCCTCCCACAGGAGCCGCCTGTGCGGTCTGACGACGGTCGGGGCCTCATGCGGGGGCCAACGCCGGTCTGGCCCTCCCTCGGGGGTCGAGGGTGGTCGGGCCCTCCTGCAGGATCTGACGCTGATCGGGGCCTTCCGCGGGGCCGACGACCGCCGCGGGCGGCGCAAGCGAGACACTCACCTGACGGCGTTGAACATGGCCGTGAGCGTGAGCAGGGTGGTGATGGTGAGCACCATGCGGCCGGGCACCACCTCGGGCGGCACCAGGAAGCTCAGCCAGCCCACCCACACGAACAGCGCCGACGGGATGAAGGTCTGCAGCAGGTGAAAACTCAGCCGACGCTGCAGGTTCACGTGGAACTCCAGCGCCGGGAAGCTCACTGTCGGGACACAAACACACCGACCCGTCAGTGTACTGAGGCGCCCTGGCAGCCTCACGTGGAAGATGCTGTCGGTAAGCGTCAGGGCATTGAGCAGTCGACGCCCGAGCCCATTGGGCGGTCCATCTGCTTACCGTTGACGTCAAGCTCCCTTGTCCTTCTGTTTTGTTTTGGGGGGATAGCCTTTGAAGATTTGAACAGATTGCAATTGATTTGGAAAGTTCGCTACGACAGAGTGTGTCACAGTGTTTCCAGAAAAAGTCAAACACAAATCGCACTGGAAATACAGATTTTTATGCCGCGGGAGGACAAGCACCAGTATGCTACGATCCAAGGATTATAATATCCTGATCATGGTCCAAGGATAGGGTTGTCGCTGTGACTGGCTCGCGTGAAAATCTCTATCAGCATGCAGTGTATGTCAAACTTGAGACGTAAATGTAATTATGCGTCAAACAGGTCAACAGAGCATTTCTAAGGTGATGATAATTCAACGTAACTGAGTGAATTATGAGTCGAATTCCAAGCTCCGTATCCCAATTAGACCACATAAACTCCCAAGTACGCAGCTAAAGAGCTCAACATTGTGTCAACACAAGCCTCTTGTTAACGGAAAGACTGCCAAGAGCGACCGGAATGCCTTGAGCCGGCTGCGCGAGGCCTCCTGCCGCCTGCCGAAACATCTTCTGCGATCGACTTCGCGCCGTGACCTTGACGAGTTTGGTTATGACCATTTATCCATATCTCCGCAGCCATCGACCGGCTCGCCTCCGTTTTCGGGGTCAATCCGTCACTGCCAGAGCAGAAACTATCAGCCGACCCACTTCCCCCGTTCCTGAATGATGCTCCCGCGCCATGGCTCGACACCGAATGCGAGATTTAACCTCCACCTTTTTCCGGGGTGGGCTTAAGATATCATGAACTGCTGCCAAACGTAGCCAAGTGACTTGGGCTTGGCTTAGGTGACCAAATATATATATATATATAATATATATATATATATGTGTGTGTGTGTGTGTGTGTGTATGTGTTTAAGGTATCATACATATGTGCCATCGACTTACAGGCAGAAGCATCCCACTTAGATGCATGGAATGCTGGATTACAGAAGTCACAAGTCAACCAGTTTAGGGGCTGTTTAGGGGCAAACGAGATCAACGATAGAAAATTATTGTAGCTTGAAAAAGCGCAAATGCAAGTATATACCACGAAGAATATCAACAACTTTCCGCGGACAAACGATTACTAATTGGTCAAGCAGCGCCTGAAGAATAGGCAGCGCTTCACAGTTAGCCCGAATTCACGATGTTATGGCCCAAACGAGGTAAATTTAAAATTTCGTCAATGACAGGCGAAGTAAAGGCAAAATTGGGCAAATCAGTAATGCCGATTGTATGGCAGAGCTCCTTCTGATAAGTAGCGAAGATTGACGCATGCCAATGCATACGCCTAAAGTCACAGGCGTATGAAATGTTTCCGGTCCTGGACTTGTGACACCGTGCCCCGGTGTCATTCCACGAACTGAAGCGCTACCTTCCGTCGGCTTGGTAATTAGGCGGTGTGGTGCGGTCCAAGGTCCAAATGAACCAGCCCTGTTTCATGGAAATCTGTTTTCTAAGAACGGCATCAGAAATAGACACCGTGCACGGTCGGCGGATGCAGAGAACGGGCGTGCTGCCTTAGTCAGGATGGAGCTAATATCGCCAGCGGCCGTGATAACTTATTTGTTTGCTGTCCCATTCTCTTGGTAGTAGATACACCAGAAAATGTTTGCTTACAACTTTTAGTTTTGACGCTGTTTGAGGCAAACAACAGTGTGAGGCAGACTTAACCATCTCTCTTCACTGCACGAGACGAATGTGCACTGTCAGACGCCATGGGCACATTTGAATTGAGATCCTGCTTATATCCAGTGCGTCTTGCATGCACTAAATCCGTAAAACAAGACGTCTGAACATCCTGAAATTCATATTGTTCCCAGCTGAATAAAGATGCATGACTTCAATGTAAATTGTAAACAAAAGGTGAAATTTTTGATTTATTACATGCCTTTTTCTTATTTCCTTTCGCAGCCCTCTCCCATCGTAACGAGCCCAGCTCTGGACTGCAAATAGCCGCCACAGCCAAGACGCCATCGAGGGCACAGCGGTCTGAGCGGCAGCCGGCTCAGCTGTGGCGGTCCGTGCAGAACTGATTGCCCGACCCGACTCAAAGATGCGAAATGCAGACACTGGCGCGACCGGTGCACGTTAGAGCGCTGGTATCGAAGTCATCTAAATATATACATTTTCGCGGCATAGCGCAAACACCAACGCCGCGAGGCCGGCTTCCGGTGAACGCAGAAACACCTGGCCGCGGCCGAAAGGTCGGTGGCCCGGAAACCGTGACGTCAGAAATCGTTTACAAGGACGACTGACGAAGACCGGCAAAACGCCGCGGGCGAGCAGAGCACTCCTAAGCCTATGAAAGGAACCACAGCGAGGCGACTCGCCGCAGGGCAGCTCAGAGGCGATGCGAGGAGCAGACGGACAGGACAAGCGGGACCGTCACGTGGCGGGGAACCGGGTAAAGAGAATCAGAGAGGAATCAGAACCAAACAGGGGGAGATTTGGGGAAATGGGCCTTGCTCGGTGCCGCTTTCGCCAGGGTACTTTGTGAACACTTAATGGATCCGATATATATATATATATATATATATATATATATATATATATATATATATATATATATATATCTATATCTATATCTATATATATATATATATATATATATATATATCGTTATAGGTCACTATCGATCGGCGATCGATAGTGGACAGGTCATCCCTGCTTCCAGCGTCTTATGAAATCAAATGCCAGTGTAAAAATGAAATGGATTATTTCAGCAGTGAAAAGTCTGTACTCTCCTGCCCTAATTCAGTTCATCATGCCCCCCCCCCCCCTCCTCCCCGACGTATGTCCCCCCCCCATGACGCAATCTGTCTTATCGTGAGCTGGGCGCGCGGCGCGATGCGCAGTATCCATTAGCGAACCGTTTGGGGAGAGACGTGCACGCGTTAGTGTGCTGAGGCTGGCAGGATATGATGTGGACGAAAGGAGGTAGAAATGAGCATGATACAGCAAACCGCTGCGTGTGTGTTTGGATGGGGGAATTGTGCTTAACAATGCGAGGGCAACAGAGCCTCTGCCTACATCTTCCTTTGTTTAATACGGCAGCCAGGCTGAACGAGTTGTTCCGGCTTGCCTTACGCCTACTGCTGTGTCAATACCGGAAGTGCAAGATACACTTGGTACGTGCAAAAGTATAAACAAAAAAAAGAGAACGGAGCTGATGATCATGGGGGCAGCAGGCACCGGAAGACAAATAGGGCATGTATCAACGGTATTGGATATATGCGCTTCGCTAGCGGCAGGATGCCCTGGCACGCTAAGGTGGGGTTGGCAAAATGTTTGATAAGTCCAGGGGAGGTCGGAACCTAGTCGGGACTATACCTGGCAAACCCATGGTGACGTCACCACGGGATTCCCCCAGGCCATTTACGTATTGAAGGGTATCGCAATGCGTGTTTTTTAAAGAATCGTTTTTGAATACTTCTAAGCCGTTCTCTCCTATAAACTAAGTCTCAAGGCGTTTGCAATATGTCTCCTAGCCATACCAGGGGTTAAAACAGCTGTGGCTGGTCAAATATCCCAGCACCAGCCCGTATCCCCGTTCTTATAGGCCTTGGATAAGTCTATCGCACGAAGATTAAAACCTATAACAGATGAGGATTTTTATGGGCACGTGTCTCACTGCAACTCCGAAGTCAAAAGAACTTGACAGTTATAAGTGATTCAGCAAGTTTTACAGATATTTAAATTATTAACTTCCCGCAGCATCTTAGTTCAAAATTCATAAGACACAGTAATGTACACACGTTTAAAAAATCGGGGTGATCATTCAACAATTAGTCATACAAGCAGCTTGTTAGATTATGTATCTGGTAACCATTGCCGCATTAGTAACATTTTAGAAAAAATCTGGGAGAACAAAATTTACGTTTAACTCTGAAAACGATGGAGTTGATTGTGTTTCAGTGAAGGGAAACGCAGTGGTTTGCTATTTCCAACTGGCATGGTAAACCATAAACTGATTTGATAAGAATGCTATAGATTTCACAAATTATCAGGTTCCTTGTCGGTACCGAGTTCGTAATGGTGCACCTTGTCGTCACGTAAAAACGCAAATACATCGCGACCAAATAGAGCGTGCACCGATATATGAAACGAAAGGAAATGGTTATGAGAAATCTCGACGGCGTTCAAATTCACGAAGAACATTCCAGGGAAGGTCAGTATTGACCTGGAGTGGAAAATAAACAAGCACCTACCCATGTGGACAAGAAAGCAATGTGTCTCCGTCACGATCACCACTAAGCGCACGCAGCCACACACATGCATTTCATCTCGGTGTTGCAACGTTTGCCCTGAGCGATGTCATTGCTTTAATCTGCAAAGCTGTCATGTTTGTGGTTCATATTCATTGACCAATAGAGACAGAAAGAACTGTATTATCTCAAAAACAAGCGTCCTTAACCGGCCACAATCTATCTGCGCAACACCTGATATTCGTATTATACTTGTTGAGCTAACCGCAGCTCACGATTGCAGTCAATTGATCTTCGAACGGTTTATTTGCTTAATAAACCATACCCTAAGTTGCTGAGACAAACATCATTAGAACTTAAAAACTTTGGAGACATGACGAAATTCAAACTTATAGATGGCAGCGATTTTGAAAAAAAATACAATTGCAGAAAACAATCTCAAACGGTTCACTGTGACACATAGGATCGATACTACGCATTTTTAATGGCACAGACAGGCTATGATGTGAGTATCTTCTACCATCTTGCAGTCCTTCCGACTACGTTCTCTCAAAAGTATGGCTGGTCTTTCAAGGGTGTTTTCCGCAGCGGGGCCTTTACTAGTGAAATGGCAGGAGCCATAGTGCACCACAAT